CAGTGGGATCTGCATTTATATTTATCACAGGCTATAATGTTGGATGTTATGACACTGCTATCTAAAGGTTGAGGGCCAAGAATAAATCTGGGTCTGGCTTTTAGTCGTTGGCGAGAGCTTTGTGAAATAAAGGGCTGCAAGCAGATGGTGAGCTGATGTTCTTTCTGTTGGACTAGTCAGTAATGTTCACTGGCTTGCCGTGTCTTGTTTTGTTGCACTTAATGTAATGTCTAACGATTGATGTTTGGCTATGTTTGGCTGTGTTAGCAATGTTGTTGCCTTGCTAATTTTGCACTTGTGCAACTGTCCATATTTACCACAGTGGAACTGCAACCGGGGGCACCAAATCACAACAAATACCAATCTTACCTAATGTTGCTTTAAGTGTCATATGCTGATTAATTACCGTAGTGTGAGCATGAAGTTATATCCTGGTGTGATGGCTCCAAACGGCTGTCGTCTCACACTGTCAGCAAACCCATAAGTGAACTCTTTACAGTGCTGGAGCAAAAGGAAACAAACACATCACACCTATAGCAGTTCGGTTTATCAAGGTTGATTCAGTCACTGAAGCCACAATCACAACTCACACACAAATTAAACTGCTTCACATTTCAGGTTTTTGGATGACTGACTGGTAATCTGTTTCAGACACAGCTTTATTGGCCCAGTATATGTACACAAACAAGGAATTTGATTCTGATTTTAAGTTGCTGTCAGTGTGTACAGAACAACTACAGGAGGATTTAAAGATATAATGATAAAACTGTATTCATGTGTGACAATGTTAGTTTCCATAGTAGTCATTTCATTGTAGTGAGACCATTTCCTGAAACTTAAACCCCACTGTTTAAAATGGTCTACTGTGACCTCTAGGATAATCACAGCTCATGAAACTGTAAAAGCACAAACTAGAGACAGAGGGCATCCTAGCTATATTGACCAGTGCGTCTCAAACTTTTTACACTGCATACCATACTGTGCCAATATTTGGTTCTCCAAGTTGCACCATTATGACCAACGTTAAAGTAAAATAGCATAGGCGGGCCCTGTCCAGCTACGAACAACTGTCCGCAGGACGCAACTGTATTCTAAATAATAAGAGACTTTGTTGTTGACTGTTGTTGAATCCTGAACGGAACCGATGCTAATTTCGTTCATCTTGCCATCACATTTTTGCTCGTAACTAATCATTGATGTTTGCATGCGCTACATGCATGAACGTGACTATGTAGCAAGTTGATATTGACAAAATATTACAGGAAATGCAAAACCCATTGTAAGTTTCATTCCACTCATAGTTGAAGTATTTTCATGTCAAAGGTTTTTGATACTAAATCACAGCATGATTTTTTTTATCCTGTTCCTCAAGGACATTTTTTACCATTTAAATTTTTGGTCAAGAATTGTTAAATTTATCACCAAATCTGTGTAACAAATGGTATCAACACAAAAATAGCTGCAATGACATCTGAGACACAGTAGTGTGTGGCACAAACTATTGACCTGCTACCCCTCCCTTAAGATCCCCCCCAAGAAGACAGAGATGGTGGTATGGTTGAAAGGGGTTGAGTGGAGTTAAATTATATTAACATTTCTAATTTCTATTTCTATATTGTACTGGGACTTCTGGAAACCCCTCAAAGACCCCCAAGGGTCCCCCAAACCCCCCTTTGATCACCACCGCTCCACTGTGCAAACTCTTCTCCTTTCTGTAGACTGGTGAACAATACCTCTAACTTGTCAGGGGCTGTGATCATTACGGCAGCCACCAGGGCCCCGGCCGAGGCCCCCGCACAGGCTCTGAGGGAGCCCAGCAGCTTGTCCCCGTGACGGAAAAAGGCTTCAACAGCACCCAGGTGGTAGATCCCCAAGAAACCACACGCAGCAAAGGACAGGTTCAGGACTGTCATCCTCAACACCTACAAGACAACAATGACGAGGTAAAGGTCTGTACTTGAATCTGCAAGTAAATTTTACTTTTAGTGGGATGCTATTACATAGGGATCAACAATTACTTGCTCTATTTAACCAAGTCTTACAGCTGGAGAACCCAGACTGAAGTAGGCTCATTTGTCACATAGACATTTGCCTTAATGTCCTCAATCACCATCATCTTTTCTTAATGTAAACACGTTTCTCCTAAATGACAGCAGTTCTAAACATAAACAATGGGTAGTGTTAAATACATATTATTATAATGTATTGAATACTGCAATTTAATGGTGCACAAACTGTAACCCGCACTCCCTTGAATATCACATTTAAAGTCTACAACATAACCCAATCCATTTCTCTATTGCATTATAATAAAAATTCCATGTCATTAGAATGAGAACCGAGAACCAGATCCAGTTGAGAACCGGTTTCAAATTGTCCGTTAAACAGAATCATATGCCTCTCAAGATGAAGTAACGGCAGAGAGAAAGAAACAGAGAGGGTAAATAAATATCCTATATTATAAGAACATTAGTGCCATACAGGCAGATTTAGCAGGGTTTTTCTTTGACTAAGATAATTTAAATGAAAGTGAATACTGTACAAATATTAGGGATGGAAATTAAACAGTGGTTAACCAGTGGGACTTCTGCATACCTGAGTCACATGGATGCTTTTTTTTACTGTTCTTTCTACACTGTGTTCAGACTTGATAAAACAGTTGTGTTGATGCCAAAAACCTGTTTAGGCCTACTTCTTTCCCACACAGAAAATTGATCAAGGATCAATAAGGGAAATAAATCAATAATTAATCAGGCTGATTGTAATGAATTGTTAATGGCATTGGTATCATTAAAATCTGCTTGTCTGGACTTGTGCTGTGCAGGGTTACTGTCGATAAACCTGCAAACAGCTGGATGTAAGTTCATGCTGAAGCACTCCAACATCCTCTTTATGCACCACACACACACACACACACACAATCGCGCACAAAAGCACCATCACTCTCCCCTGCTGAGCTGTTGATAATTACAAGTAAAACACTGCAGTAAACACCCACCTACACATACACATACACACACACACACACACAAGTTGAAAAGGAGTTTTATGGCAGTTCGGAGCTGTTGGGCTTCTGTTCTCTAAGCAGCATGCAGAGTTCACTAATAACAACTCTCGGCTGAAGAAGCTCAGAAGAAAATGCAAAAGCTGATGAACAGATTAAAAACATGCATATAAACGAATTAATGAGTAAGAGGTTGAATAAGTGAATAATGAAATGGACTGATTAACGAGATCAGATGAATAATTAACAAATGAACAAGCGAGCAAGGAAGTAAACAAAGGAGAAAATGAACACAGGTGACAGAGCAGACGCCTGGGTGCACAGAACAACAAACGGATCAGATTCTCAAAGCGTTGCAGAGATGAAGTCGACATCACAGACAACATCACAGACCGTCAAAACCTTTCAACTCTAATATACTTCATTCAAAGGACCTTAAATGAAAATGGTTATCTGGATTTAATCTTTGTTATTTTCAGACAGCCTACAAAGCTCTGAGACAAAAGGAAAACAGCTGTCAAAAGCACAACCAAAGAGATTTGGGCAGATATTCAGGGGTCTGGCATAGGGTTGCTGCCCCCAACATCTGTGCATTAATAGATTGGATAAATAATTGGAGCGTGTTTGATGTTCTGTTTTTGAGGATTAGAGGTTAACATGTGGGATGGGTCGCTGGTTTCAGGAGTATCATTTTCCCATTCTGTGTTCCCATTTCAAATTTTGTTCCAACAATATGCTTAATGTTACATGACATAGAAACACAGGACTCATTACAATCCCAGAGGTTTATGCTTTGACCACCAGTTTGTATTTCGTCATTCTAGATACTACATTACCCGGGAGCATTAGCCCCAGTTGCTATGGAGACGAAGCCAGACAGATGCACAAATCAGAGTTGTAGCAAAATCAGAATTTTTCGTTGTCGCTTGTTAACAAAATGTGGCACCGTATCCGCTGAATTCAACCAAAATTGACCTGGAAATCCAAAGTGAACTGCTTTAAGCTGTAGATTGTAAAATCAGCTTTCTCAACAGCATCCTTTTTAGCTCGAGATAGAGTTTCAAACTCTGTGATTGGATGATTCTTGGGAAAGTGCAGCTTGGGAATCATAGTTAACTTTTCCTCGGAAACTTTTATGTTCCCGCTTGTGCCTTCAACTTTTTATCAAAAGAACCAGGTATTTTCTAACTCAGTAGGTAATCTTATGGACTGATTATTCAACCAGGAAAGTTTTGTGCCGATCCAAGCCGTAGATGTACTCCACCTGTGAGTCACGTACAGCCTATGAAAAAAACATACAAAAACCAGTGGCACACAAAAATAGTTTCTCACACTTGGAGTTGAATTGATTCATGGTTTCAGTTGGCTGGTCTGTAACGATTAGAGAATTTAAGCCTGAATTTGTTTCCTCCTTCTGGCTTTTGTCAAACAACTGAAATATGTACCAGCTCAGCATGATGAAGTGCACAGAAAGTGGGCTGAACAAGCTTGTATAGATCCTGGTTCACACACACACACACACA